AGACCTCAGGCATTCCTTTCCTCCTCCTTCTCTCCCCCCAAAAAAATGAAACACAGGTGCTGGTGAGGGCAGAGGGAAGCCCTGAAAGATTTCTCCAAAATCCAGGAGACTGTGGCACCATTTCTCACCTGTTGGGGAGAAACCTGCTGCACCAGCTCTGCTTTCCTGCTCCTGAGGAGGAGCAGCACTTTTTTAGGATTGGTGATAGGGAATATGTAGTTTGCACTTTCTGGATACACCAAACCAGACAAGCATCCTGGAAAACATCAGGAAGCCCAGTCCAGGATGAAGTAAAGGCTCTGGGGCACTTCCTATTGTTGCTGGTGCACGTGAGGAAAAGTTCCTTTGTTTTTAGGACAATAGCTTCCTTGCCTCCAGGGATCCTGGTTCCTACTCCTTTCTTGCCTGTGTTATGGCTCAGGAATGAAAAACAAAGAAGGGATTGAGGAAAGCAGGCCCACGCAACCCCAGGAAAGGGTGGGTTTGTGCCCCCCTGAGCACGGGCTTTGTTAGGGCAGCCAGGGAGGTGTGAGATTATGGCAGAGGGGATTTTCCCTGCTGCCAGCAGCCCGTGCCCATGGCTGGGTTTGTCACAGGCCCTAGGCTAGAAGACCCATAAAGGACAGGGATATGAAATCTCCAGGGCTCAGGGCCATGCTGGGAAGCTGCAGCCCCAAAAGCAGGGAGAGCCAGCTCAGTCTGCCTCTCTGCCAGCAGGGTGTCTGCATCCAGCTCCTGTCCTCGATGCCTAATCCAAGGAGACAGCAAAGACACTCACACTGCCAGGCATCCTCCTGGGAGCGGGGCTGTGCTTGCCAGGGAAGTGTCTCCACAGTGGGTCAGCATTCCAAGCTCTGGGAAGGGGCTGGTGCCCAGGCAGGGGACTAGGCAGCTGGCTCATGCCACAGTGACTTGCCAGGAGAGGCAGCTCCCTGTTTAAATCAGCACAGCCCAGAGAAGTCTCAGGTGCAGGAGGGAGCCCAGGCACCTCCAGAGTTGTCCTGTTCTTGGGAACACATTGTGACAAAAGTTCTGCTTTTCTCTTAAACCAGTAAAGAATTGTGGAATTGTTAAGCGTGGATGAGACCTCCAAGATCATCAAGTCCAACTGTTCCCCAAGCAGTGCCAAGGCCACCACAAAACCACATCCCCATGGCAACATCCAAGTGCCTCTTGAGCACCTCCAGAGTTGGGGACTCCACTACCCTGGGCAGTGCATTCCAAGGCCTGAGCATCCTTTCCATGGGGAAATCCTTCATGCTGCCCGACCTAAACCTCCCCTGGCCCAGCCTGAGGCCGTTCCCTCTTCTCCTGTCCCTGTTCCCTGGGAACAGAGCCCAGCCATGCCCCTCCTGTCAGGAGCTGTGCAGAGCCACAAGGTCCCACCCGAGCCTCCTTTTCTCCAGGCTGAGCCCCTTCCCAACTCCCTCAGCTGCTCCAAAACCTCCCAACCCTGGCCCATGATGCACACAGCACATTTTTAGATGCAGTTTAAAGGGATTCTGGATCAATCCCTGCTGCCTCCCCACCCTGGCAGGGAGGAGGTTCCCAGAACTCCAGGCCTGGCTTTGCTCTCTCAGCCTCTGCACATAAGGCCAGGTTTTAGAAGGTGCTTCAAAACCTTTCTCCTATTAGGAAAGATTAATAGCCAAAAAAAAAAGCTTTTTTGGGGTGATATCCATCCTAGTTTTGTAAAGTGAGGGGGACAAAGCCTCAGAGTCAACAATGAGGGTGCCATGGCTTGGGAAGGTCCTGCTGAAGGCAGCAGAGAGGTTCCTACTCCTTTCCACAAACTTTGGAGCATGGAATGACTTACACAGCCCTCTGCACCACTGAATTATTTGTGAGCAATCTGTGAAAACTAATTAGATGTTAGGAAGCTTAATTAGGCTGCTTTCCTTGAAAGGAGAGGGAAAATTAGGGATTCTCACATCCTTCAGTGCCACCAGCCCAGTTTAGCTGAGCTCAAGGCCCAAGTTCCACCAGGCCAACCACAGTAATCCTTCCTGGGAAGGATCAACAAGGATGGAGTCCACCCCAACAATCCCATCTCTGACATGTAGCCCTAAAGCTCCCTGAGTCTTGCAGCCTTGGGAGTGTGACCATTCCCTGGGGAGCCTGTTCTAGGTGCACGACAGCAGCCCCAAATTGTGCTTCCAAGACTTCCAAACACCAGCCTTGGCCAGGGGAGCCCTGGCTGTGTGAGGCAGAGTGTTCTTTCCCTCTGATCCAGCCCTGAGCATCCTTTCTGCTCCTCAAAACACACTGATGGCTGGGCCTGGAGGTGGCACATAGCAAGGCAAGAGGCAGAAGCAGGGAAGGAATCCTTTCCTCCCCACAGGACCTGCACCTGGATTCCATTGAACTCATGACAGGCCCTTCCCAGAAAAACTGAAACTTCAAGCAAGCTGATCAACAATTAACAGTACAGGTCTTGTTTATGTGGAGGGATTGGTGGGGCTCAGCAAGCCCTGCTCAGCCAAGTCATGGTTAAATGAGATAACAGCCTAGAAAATACCTAGGGGGCTAAAAAAACCCTAAAAACTCCCTCCCCTCACTGCGGGGAGGATCTGGAAGTGTGGAGATAAGGAAATGGAGTGGCCTGGGCTTGCCCAGGACTGAGGGTGCTGCAGCAGCACTGTTGAAGGTTGC